ACACCATCTGTGTGTTTGCGCAACTGAAAAATATATTTTAATAAAATCATAATCATTAGCAGATTTTGCAACATGAGATACCATGGGTTCTAGTTTACATTTTGTTCAGCTGTTTTGTTATCGAAGTCTAGCAACTAAGAGGGTATATTACCAACAATATGCAAAATATAACTTGTAACATCTTAATGATGTGGCATTCAAAATATAACTTGTAACATCTTAATGACGTGGCATTTAAAATATAACTTTTAACATCTTAATGATGTGACATTCAAAATATAACTTTTAACATCTTAATTATGTGGCATTTAAAGTATAACTTTTAACATCTTAATGATGTGATATTCAAGTGTAAAATTTAAATCTTCTTGGTCTTCTTTGCATTTCGAAAAAATTTTCGGACAGTATTATCATTTTCGGACAGTATTATCATTATTTAAAAATTCACCAGGCCTAGTAAATCAGTTGTCCAATTTTATTCTAAAGTTTCTTTTTAACTAATATTTTTTTAAACCTGAACATTTTAAATTCTGATGTTGCTCGCGTCATCTACTTCATTTTTACCATTTTGTTGTTTATTTTGAGAAAACATTTAACATTAATCCAAACATCATTAGTAGTTCTAAGTTGTTCAAAAACAAGATTATATAGAAACCATTTATCATCAGATGTTGATCATTTCTTTTGTCTTATAAACAAATGGATGATAATGTGATAATGTTTTAATGTTTAGCATAATAAATAATAGTTAAAACAATCGTTGATAATTGATATATTAAAGTAAACGTTTGGTAAAGAGTATGTAAACCTTAAGTTTATTAGTTTTCTTTGTTATAAACCCTAGGTTTATAAACCTTTATGTACGCTAATCACAACCAACACATAAAGTCAACATATAAAGTTTGAATAAATATACTTTAATAAAGTTGTTTTTTATTATTGTCATGTTTTAATTAACAAATATTTCTTATTTATTTTTTAGTTTCAGATTGACAATTTTGGTTAGATTAATATTTTTCAAGATAACGAAAAAAAATCGCTATTGGGTTAAGTTTTTTGTGCTAAAGTCACAATCATGATATTCATAAAATCTTTGATATCTTAGTATATCTTTTTATTTCAAGGCTGCTGAATTCAAATCTGCGTTTGTTTTAAGCATACTGTTGTCGGTAAAATGCGAACTGCGAACCTGTAATGCGAACTTTTTTACGAACCAAATTATATTTTAAAAACCATTATTGTTATCAGGGCTGTGGAGTTGGAGTCGGTTTCGGAGTCGGAGTTGCGGAGTCGCGACATTTTTAGCGGAGTCAAAGTCGGAGTCACTAAACAAAATCGCGACTCCGACTCCAATACTAAAACTTCTCGGTATTGTACGTACATGTACAAAACATTCAATTAACCTTAAATTCATACTAAACCTCAAAGAACGTTTCATAAATTTGTCAAAAAAGAAATTTTTAACTTATCGCGTAATATTTTTGAAAGAATTCAAAGAATTTTTCAAAAATTTTGCTTTGAAGTTAGAGTCGGAGTCGGAGTTAGAGTCGGAGTTGTGCTCAAAAGATTTCAACAACTGGAGTCGGAGTCGGAATTGTACTCAAAAAATTTAAACAACTGGAGTCGTTACTTTTTTTATACGATTTTATACCCCTGATTGTTATGATAAAAACAATAATAAAAAAACTCTCCAATTCTTAATTATCTATTTCAAAGCTTTATTTAAAATAAATATTTTATTTTTTACCTGTAAAACGTGTTGCTACATCGACTATCTTATAGCCTGACTTAAAACGGAGTGCTGCTACACCGACTATCTTATAGCCTGACTCGCGACGTCAGGCTATAAGATAGTCGATGAGTGCTACTAAATTGACTGAGGGGTTGGTTTGGGCAGGCAGTCTATCAAATAATTAAAAAAAAATATATTTTGTATTTGTCTAGTTTCACTTAATTTTTTTAAATTTTTTTTTATTAATATTTGCGCTTTAAAGTCTTTAAAATATACCGATTTAACGGAAATAAAACATTACATCATTAACAACCAATAGGACAATGGTTCGCAAAAAAGTTCGGTTCGCGGTTCGCAGTTTGCATTTTACCTAGTAACCAAGCATACTATTGTCTAACTAGTAGATAGTAAATTGATCGCTACATTTTTTATGCAATTGTCCAATTTTAAAAACTCCAACATACATTTAGAATTGTCAATGGTTGTCATTCTTACTTTCTGTGCTTTGACTTTTACGATGGAAGCTTTTCTTTACTCAATAGAGTCTGGATTGACAATGGGAGAAAAAAAACCCACCTAACTGGCAAATCAACTTTTCTAAAATTTTAGTCAAAATAAAAACATAAATTCAGCGTTGCTTTGCTTAAATTATCCTAATTATCCTAATTTATTTTATTTATATTAGCTTTGATTGTCCTAGTTGTTTATTTTTTACAACAATACTAGTGTATTCATAAGTGAACAATAAGGGGATTGAGGAAAGACGTGTCCTTCAAATATTTATCGATAGTTTTAGCTAAAAGAAATGCGTCGGATAGATTTCTTTTCAAACCACATCTCTTCGGGTTGTCGGCAACTGTGCTCGTTTCTGATTTATCTGTTGTTGTTAAAACTTTTATCTAGCCGATTTAAATTAATGTCCAGTTTTAATCAATAATAATATTTTCAGTTTTTACGATGATTTCAATTACGTTATTGCGGCTGAAAATGTGGTAACATTGTCACTAGAGCATTTGAAGTTCGTCCGAGATTTTACGGATATTAAGAATTAGCTGTTAATTTTTGGAGATTCAAAAAATTAAATTCAGAAGATTTTAAAAAGAACCAAAATTTTTTAATCCTGCACTGGTAGGTTGTTTCTTGAACTTGAAGAGGGTCTTTCTGAAATGGTCGGCAGCGCAGTAACAAAGTATTGATGCCGACCTTTTGAGTCAGATTTAAGAACATTATCCGTTTAAAAAGATTCACATACTGAAGACTTCTGCGTGATTTTCACTTGTCATATGTATGTTAAAATTATGATGCTTCTGTATCAATGGAACTGTTATCTTGCAGCTAATGGGCTAAGTTCTTAACCCATTAGCATCCTTAATTGAGGACGCATTGTAAATTCCAATTACAGTGTATATAAATCATTTTCGGATGTATAATTTTTTTAGATATAATTATTAGTTTCCATAGAGCACTATTTTAAACTTTTATTTACTTTTAGTTTGTTACCTCCATAAATGTAAATTGTTGTACTGCTATTTTTTTTACTAAGGTAAGTTAAAACTTTTATTATTTTCATAAAATCCTTATTTGTAAATTACATGTTCAAAAAATAAAAGAAATGTTTTTAGCATATTTTCTTAAAAAGTATAATATATTTGTCTGTCCTCAATCGAGGACACTGGACATTTGGAGCTTTTTTTAGTTTTAATTTAATTTTGAAATGATTTCATAGCAGTTTTGAAAACTGTGAGTCGAAATGATTTTTCTAAATTTAGAAGCCGATACCTTACCAGTAGGCAAAATTATTGATGAGAAAAACAGTGATGATGATGAATTAGATACACCTCAGTCTGTGACATTGCTTGGACTGCAAGATTAGATGTACCACCTGGTGAAGATGATAGTGAACCATTGGAAACATCATCGCCATCAAACTCTACGCAAAATGTTTTGCCTTCAAAATGCAGACATATGGTAAAGCCCGACTGGCAGAAAACATCACCAATTTATAAAGCTTTGCCCAAAGGAAATATTGTTGATGAAAAGTTTTATAACGCTTGTCAAGAGTTGGAAACTCTTGACAAGCGTTATAAAACTGTAACGAAACGTTTGGTGTACCCTGTTTTTCTAAATACCATAATAAATAATTGAAATAAAATGTTTAGATAAAGACTACATAAAAAATTGAAATTTTTATTCAGAATTTTTATATGTATAAATGACCAGTGTCCTCAAATAATGACAGCCATTATTTACCAAACTAAATTTTACAAAATATTTTTAACTTAATTTTTTTATAAATTTCAATGTATTATGGTCCAATTTCATGAGTTTTACGTGAAAAATTTGAAATTAATAAATTGGGTTTTAATGGGTTAAGTTGGATAGTTACTGTGCCACTATTTAGCTAGCGTCAATACATGAGAAAACATTTCAATTAGGTTTCATTTCTTCAGAGAAATCGTGCCCTTGGGGTAAAGTGGGAAAGGTGCTATTGGGGTAAAGTGTGAGTAGAAGTGGGACAAAAACATTTAAAGCAACATTTTAACACAAACTATTAAATAGAAACTGATAAAATCATAAAATCACCTATACGACCTGAAAATGTTCAAGAGCTTTCAGTAATCGAAATAATCAAATGGTGACAAGAAAAAGCGTGGCTTAAATATTTATTTTTATTGTCCCATTTCACCCCAATGTAAACACTTTTTAAGGTACATTTCAAAATTAGGGCTTTTAGCGCACGCATGGAAACAAAGCAATTTCTGCCAAATATAGAGGAAGAAATATAATTGTTTAAATTAATTAACAGTATTTAGGCACCATTTCTATTTAGGAGTTTCAGGCTGTCCCCTTTTTTCCGCGTCCTACTTCTCCCCATTCTCCCCTACATATATATACGTATGCATACATGTATGTATGTATGTATGTATGTATGTATGTATGTATGTATGTATGTACGACGGATCCAGAAATTTTTTTCGGGGGAAGGGGGACAAACTTTGTATCGCATTTACGTATCCGAAAGAAAAAAAAAAAGGTCCTCCATTTTAAAGATATTTTAGGACTTTCAGATTCTAGTGAGGGTGGGAATGCGTACCACCATGACCCCTCTTGGATCCGTCACTGCTATGATAAAAAGAAAAAAACTAAATTGATTAGAATTTATTTTCAAGTTTAAAATATTCTGATGTTTTTGAAATGAAATTAAACCTGAAAGTTTCAAAATATGGGTATGGTAAGTAACTACTTGATATTTACAATAACGCTGACCTTAGTTACTACTAAGTTAAGTATTTTATTAGCTGCTTCCATATTGTTTATTTGTCATAACAACAGTTTAGGATAAATAAATTGATTTTTTCTAACAAGAAACATTATTCCGATAATTACCATAATAACATCGTAAAATGTTCCAAATATTTCGACATAATCAAACATAAAAGGCGAGCAACTAAAGGCCAAAAACGCACCTGCAGAGAACATTGAATTTCGAACACTATCAACAAATGTCTGAACATTTGAGCTTACCATTTTTGCGAGCGTATTAACAAAAAAGACATCAAATACTATAGCTGCACCTCCAAAACTTATCATGTACACAATGCATAAAACAATATTTAATGTTTTGTAATTTGGAAAATGTGTAAGAATAATAAATCCTGCACCAATAATACAAAAGCAAGCTAAACTGGCTATCAATAAAAAAATCATCTTTTTATCAGAAAATGGTCTCCACATTGATAACAACAAAATTATAGCAGAAAATCCGGATGAGCCAAAAACGGTAATGTTCATTTCCAATATAGAAAGTTGCATTTTTTCTATTATTAATAATGGTAACCATATATCTGCGTTAAATAAAAAAAAAGCTAAAAAAAAGTTAGCAAACATTAGAAGTGCCGAATCAAAATGGAAAAATAGCACTTTTAAAATGTTGATTACAGTATGCCTTCGAAAGTCTTGTAATACATCCACTTTGTTTTCGCTATATCGGTATTTAACAATGGGCTGCTCCTCGTCATATTTATCGCTTTTGACAGCTTTATCGTGGATTTTATTAAATGTAACAGCTTGATTACTTTCTGCATAAGCTTTCAAATCAAATTCTTTGGATACATCATACACCATTGTTATTGTAAGTATTTCCATTACAATACACAAAAAAGCAAGAAATAATCCTGGGAAATTTACATCTCGTAGATGCCAACGACCAATATCAAACTTTATGTCTTTAAAAAAAAAGTTTATTCCTGGAGCAAGCACAAAACCAAAATTTCTCATGCCGGATAAAATAGATAACTTTGAACTTGTTTCAGACAGTGGGTAGCTTCGAATCGTTTCGCTAGTAATCACAGATCTCAAAGATGCACCTACTCCTGCAATTAGTCTGCCTCCAATCAAAAAAAAAGGCGAGAAATGAAAACTGTACACTAAATTTCCAGTAAACATTAACAAATTGCATATTAAAAAACAGCTATTAACATTTCGTCTCTTATCAACCACTCTACCTATAAACGGTGTCAGAAGTGAAGAAGAAACCATGAATGATACCGACGCAAAAGCATAGTACAACTTAGGATTGTTTGTGTTCAACATTGTTTTAATATACAACCATAAAGTTATGAATGTAAGGCTGTACTCCATTCCTATTACAACCATATGCATAGAGAAAGCAATAAAGGTGTATTTTCTTTTTTTTAACCATTTCTCACCCACTTCATGATGTTCTTTATAAAGATTCATAACCTAGTGCACTTGTAATTAGAATATAATATTAATTAACAATATTTTGTAATATTTTTATTAGGGGCTTCTTTCTTTCGGCAATCATCAGCTTTTAAAAACCAATCAAATATGTAAAAATTCCGTTTTTTAAAAGATTTATTCAAAATTTATTCAAAATTAGACGAATTTTGACAGAATAACAGAATAGACAGAGAGTAATAACTCAGTATCACAGAAAGAAAGGAGATTAGTTTATCAACACAATATATTTGTCATTTTTGTTAAGCCGGTTATTTTTATTAATACAAAAATTTTTAAATTTTTAACAAAGGCCGAGTTCGCATATTTTAGTGGGTCGTACAGTTAAAAGATATTTAATGATTTGTGTATTTTACGTTATTGATAATACTAATTGATTTTATTCTTAATGATATAAAAAATCCTAAAAATACAGATATAAAAAATAAATAATCAACATTGAACTTCTAAACTGAATCTTTAATCAACATTGAACTTCTAAACTAAATCTTTAAACAACATTGAACTTCTAAAGTGAATCTTTAAACAACATTGAACTTCTAAACTGAATCTTTAAACAACATTGAACTTCTAAACTGAATCTTTAATCAAAATTGAACTTCTAAACTGAATCTTTAAACGAAAGTAAACTAAATATTTAGTAAAACTAGTAATAAAAAAATTTTTCTTATCGCCTTCTTAAAGAAGATTACCCGGTGGGAAATACTTTTTCGTATCGCTTTCTTAAAGAAGACTAATCACTACCAAACTTAATATCGGTGATCACATCATAAAAAGAAAACATTCAATGAAACTTATACGTGTAACTTTCACACATAAAACTTCTAAAAAGTATTGATTTATTCTATGAATAAAAACCTCTCTTAAATCAACCATGCTTATAACAGATCTATTTCTCATCTATTTATTCTTATTATGCAAACATGGCAGGACCAATATAACTAAGACTAAAACATTTATCTAACATCTTTCACATTCAAAACCGTTTTTTAACAAACTGAATATACTCAAGATTTATTAAATAAACATGTATCAAGTTAAAATATTTACCAAATAAATATATATCAAATAAACATATATCAATCTAAATATAATTAAGCTAATAAAATAACAACACCAAAAATTAAAATAGAATAATCAGTAATGATTTCAAAACAAAAACTATTACATTTAAGTAACGAGATAACTGTGGATTGTTTCTAAATTATTAATGAAGTGATCATTCCAGGAAAATTGTTTTACATTATTATACAATTATGTCGGGGAAATGGGGGCCTAACAGCCCCCGTAACGTTTGGATTAATGTTATATAAAAATAAAAACAAAATATGTTTTTTTAACATTTTATTTCAATAACCACATCATTAAGCTTTAAATTGATGCTATTTAGAAAAAAATTAAACGGTTTATGAAAAAGTTATTACACAAAAATTTCACTTAGTAAAGAAAAACGGTTTTGCCCCTATTGTGAGGCACAACCGCACCCTAACAAAAATCGTTGGGGCTACACTTTTCTTGGTACATTTCCTTTACAATTGTCACAGCTTAGGTTATTTGCTGATTTTGTAGCACGTTTGCATACTGTGTAGGCATTCTTTGTACTTACAATCTGAGTTTTCTCATTCGATATACTCTTAGCTTTTTATTTTATTCAAAAACTCATTTATAAAAGTTGATTAAAAAAATAGGAAATTTAATTTCCAACATCGCAAAACATAACTATTTTTTTTTCAAGTTTTTAAATGAAGGTATTCAAGTGTAACGATTACCTAACTTTGATAAATATCAAAAGTATGCGGTTGTGCCTCCTGTACGTCTATACGTTTCTGCCCCAGTGGACAGTTTTTAGAAAGAATGCAATTTTATAGCTTGCTTATTAGGTTATGTTGATATCAAAAATGGTTTTCACTTGATAAAATAACGCTGATAACACATATCTTGATACAGTGGACCACTGTATTCTCTTAGATAAATTAAGACATTACGGAATAATTAATAAAACTTATTATTGGATTAAAAGCTATCTTACAAACAGAAAACAATATGTAAATAATGCTTGGGCATTATTTACATTATCTGGAGTGTTAAATGTCATATGTGGAGTTCCGCAAGGATCGATTCTTGGTCCACTTCTTTTTTTAATATATATAAATGACTTCTGTAATGCATCCTTAAAACTTAATTCAATCATGTTTACAGATGACACGAATTTATTCCTTACCAGCAACGATATCAAGAAATTAAATGCGGACATAAGTATTGAACTAAATAAAGTAAATAACTGGTTAAAGGCTAACAAACTCTCACTTAATGCCGAGAAAACAAACTATATACTTTTTCATAAAAAAACTCAAGAAGAAAATCTTCCTCTCAAGTTGCCGAACCTATTTATAAATGACAAATTAATTAAAAAGCAAGTCAATATAAGATTCTTGGGAATCGTTGTTGATGAAAAATTATCCTGGCTTCCTCATATAATATATATCCAGTCAAAAATTAATAAACTCATAGGTTTAATGTATTGAGTTCGCTCGTACATCAATACAAATAGTCTTAAATTAATCTACTTTGGGCGGTGAGTTCGTTAAGTTCATTCAAGTTTTTAACAAAAAAAGAAAGTTTTAAAACCGGTGAAATATTTTTTGTTAATAATGCTTTGGATAAATTCTCTTAAATACGTTTTTGTTTTGTTTCTACTTTTGTTTGTTGCTTGACAAATTTTATAAGTGGATTACGCATTTTGTTATTATATTTTATTCAAATTTTTTATTTTTTATGTCATATTATGATATTTTAATTAAATCTTGTTATAGGGGTTTTATGAAAAGATTGCGATGACGTTCTGTCATCCTCATCTTCTTTGAGCCCCTATCTGTTTTACTTTATTTTGTTAAAATTTATATTATGTAGTCGAATTCGTAAAATTCTTATGTTATGTACACAGAAAAAGTAAGAAAAAAAAAAAAAAAAAAAAAAAAACATATCTAACGCTAACACTAAAATCAAATATTGCTTAATCCTCAAAAAAAAAAAGGACTGGAAAAATATGATGTATATAAAATATTTTTACCAAATTAAACATTATTATGCACAACTTCTCAGAAACATTACAGGCACTCTTTTTGACATTGAAACTGATTTTGAAACTGATTTACTAATGCGTGGTATATTTTTTACTATATTAGATAGCATTTTTCAATAAGAAAATGTTAAAAAACGGTTGTGCCTCCGTACGCGGTTATCCCCCCACTTCCTCTATATTTTATGTTTTATAAAAAACATTTTAAATACTTATAATAACGTAAATAAATTTTGTAAGAGATTAATTTAAATTTTTTAATTTTACAAATTTTGAATTCTTTTCCATTTAAAGTTTTGCATTACTTTTTTTATATTTGATTTACTTATATTTATTTTTTAAAAACATATGCGTTTAATGTATAATATATGGTTATATAATAATTGTTATTTAATTAAAATCTCAATTAAAACATTCAAAACTGATTATAAATAATCGGCTTATTCAATTTGTTTTGAAATAATTTTAAATTTTATGTTATACTATTTAAAGTAATTGAAGTGTGTGTAGATAAACATAGGACTTTGAAGACAATCTTTTCTTCTTCATGTCTTTGACATCTTTAAATACTTAAATAAACAAAACTTGTAGATATTATATGAACTGCTAAGTAGATTTGAAAAAAAATATTAATGCGACTCAATAACAGTTAAACAGCGTTTTTCTTAGAGACGTGAAGCCACATTTTCTAAGATACACAAAAAGCCGGGTGAATAAAAACGAGCTATTGCTTTTACTCAGTAATTGGCCAGCTTTACCTGAATAAAAGCTAAAGAAATTTTTCCTAAGTTTTTATATACGTAAAGCCGAACAATTACAAAGTAAATTGCTTAACTTTACGTAAATAAAAATTTGAGCAAAACTGCCAATGTTTTTATTCACGTAAAGCTGACCAATTACTGAGTAAAAGCAATTGCTCATTTTTATTCACCCGGCTAAAGCCACATGTTTTGAGAAGGAAAAAACAACTAATTATCAGACGAAGTATTATTTTAAATTTAAATAATTTTTGAAATTTTTTATTTTGTAATGTAAACAAAGATTATAAACAGTTTTTTTACTCAAACTAGATTTGTATCATTTCAATTAAAAATTATCATTTTTGCATAAGATTTTTATTGTGTTATAAATAAAAAGCCTTGAACTACATTACGAACACCGCTTTAAATAAAACAATATTTATGAATTACCAAAATTTATCAAAATACCGTGAGTTCTGGAAATCCTGATATCCAAAAAAAGTAATTTTTGGTATCAGTGAGACAAATATTGAAGCTAAAAAAAGCAAATTGGTTAAAATCTTTTGACACGGTTTTGAAAAGTAATTCCAGTCAATAATTTTTAAAAAAAACTATTAAACGGTTTAATAACAGTTTGAAACGCTTTCATTAATTCCCTCTTTTGTAGGTTTAATTTAAACCTACAAATAAGGGAATTAATAAAAGCGTTTCAAACTGTTAAACTCAGCTGTTAGAATTTACAACCTCTTCTATTATTTTTATTATATTACATTAACATTACTGACTTAATGAAAATAAGTTATATTAATGAAGCATAGACATTGAAACAAGTTTCTCCTTTCTTTATTAGATACTGAAGACTAAATAACAACGTTTCATTACGTCACAATTCTTTCAACCGCAAATTTGATTTTTTAATAAAATTTTTTTTAAAAAAAATCATTTTACTAAAATTTTCTTTGCATGCTCGTGTGATTATTTTAATCACTCCCATTTTCATAAAAACGGACAAGTGAAAAATTGCCTTTAGCACTAATAATTGCCATAAGTCATGAGATACAAAAAATCTTTGAAAAAACCTTCAAAAAAAAAAAAAAAAAAAAAAAAAAAAAAAAATATATATATATATATATATATATATACACATGCAGTTATTAATTTTTATTTATTACACCTGATGACGCTGATTACAATAGATCAGCGAAATATCGAAAAAAATATATTAAAAAAAAAACAAATATATATTTTTAAAAAGTTTATACGCAGCCGTTTTTATTAAATTTTACATATTTTATTATTATCGTATAACAAGAAAATGACTTTTAAAGATTATATATATATATATATATATATATATATATATATATATATATATATATATATATATATATATATATATATATATATATATATATATATATATATATATATATATATATATATATATATATATATATATATATATATATATATATATAACAATAGTAACAATAAAAATAAAATCATTAAAACAAGAAATCAAAAAAAATGTAATCAATTAAATATAAATATTTTAAGAATATCTTTTTAGTTTATTTGTATTAGTTACTTGTTTATTTGCAATTATTTTTAGTTTGTTTATTTCATTTATATCTTTTAGTATGTCATTTTTAATTTTTTCTTTATTGCTAATTAAATTTAATTTTTTACTTTTATAATTTTAGACAACTTACAAATTTTTATTTTTGATTTATTACTTTTCTGATAAAACTTGCGACTAACTATAAATATATTAACAAAACATTTTAATATGAACATATTTAATTATAACATATTTAAACATATTAATACGAAAAATTTTTAAGATATTACTTGTTATGGTATGACGTCGAGCAAAATAAGTATAATAAGATTTTTGAAGCAGCCAACCGACAGAACTTTAGAATTTTCTTATTTGTTATTTTGTCAACTTTATAGAACAAAAACGCGAGAGAAAAGAAATTATAAAGATTAAAAAGTGTTAAACAATTTTTTTTTTTTTTTTAGTCTTTTGTTTTTATAAAAAGACTGAAGACGTAAAACTGTTATATTAGTAAAATGCGTTCATTTCATAAAGAATATTTATATAAAACTATAATAGTGCATTGAAAATATTATTCGCGTCAAAATCCCAATTAATTCGCTGAATACTTTTTAAATAAACATTTATTAAAGTAAAAACGGCTTATATAAAAATATTGACGAGTACGATTCCATTTGATGAAAACTTTTTAAAAAGATTCTTAGCATTCCTTAAGGTGGTACACCACTAAAAAGCACTTTTTCAATTTAAAATAGGAATAAAACCAAAAACTAATATTTTTCTCATTATAAATTTATAAAAAAAAATATTTGAAATGAAATTTTTTTCTAAAAGTTTTTTTTTACATCCATAATGGCGGAAAAACTGCTTAAAAAATGCATAAAATTCAATAACTTTGTGACGTGATATCTTCCGTTATATACATTTTTTCTAGTTCAAACTTAGTATATTGTTGCATTATAATGTTTTATTCCGGTTGACAGATGGATTTTTAACTTAAGGACATATTTTAAGTTTTATTACGAATTATTAAAAATATGCTTGAAATTCTAAGTAATTTGACTTAACATGTGAACTAATTTCTTTATTTAAAAATATTTAAGAAGAATTTTTTAAATCCCATCTGTTAACCGAATTTCTTGAGTATATTGAGTATACCCTGAAAATTTCAGGCAAAAATCATTACCCAATACAAAGATATTATGTTTCAAAGTTACCTTAGTATTACAAAAATGAAAAACTGTAAAAAACACATTTAAAGTTTTTTTCAGTAAAATCTTGGTTAATGTCCACCAGAAACATATGACTGATTAGTTTCATTTAAATTTTGTTTATCACTGAACCCTTTGGTTATTGATCTTAACTTTTTTCTTTGCTTTATACACATGGTATTGTGTCGATTTTCGCTTTATTTGATTCACACGAGAATTGTCAAACTGAATAAATGTCATTACTGTTATATACCCAGTCAAATTGAACTCTTTTAAAACATCCAAAATACCTTCACTACTATCATTAAAATAAATAACAGCAGAGTAAGTTCCCATTTCAACTATTTCTCTACTGGCAAAAGTGTTTTTTGGAACTCTAGACCATATGAGGACATTCAAGGACTCATTAGGATTTTGTGTCTTACCATGAAGGCATTTAGATAGCAGTAGATTGCCTTGTAAGCTTTTAAAAATTGGTATTAGCAGGTTTTTCATCCAGACTGGAATTGAATTTGATGGTATATACTGCTTTGTTTTACTCCAATACCTGCACCACGCTAGAACAAGAGGGTTGAATAAAATTTGAGGTCTTACAAGATACTCTATTTGGTATAACACAGTTCCATTTTCTATGCTTTTTTCTAGAAAGGTTTTTTTTTGTTGCAAACTTTATATTTTTGATCTAGGTTTCCTTTTCCTCCTGAACTCATTTTTATATACACTAAATATAAAGCTAAAGTTATTAAATCATATTAACAAATATATCTCAGACAAAGTAAATATCAAAGTAAATTGATATTACAATGTAAAAGTTACAACAACAACTATTTAAATTGTCACAAAACAAATGTACCTTTAAAGTATAGTTCAAAACTTTACGAATATAAAAAAGAAGCCTAGCATAACCTAAGCATATTCCATAAAAAAGAAGCCTAGCATAGCCAAGCTTGAGCATAGATTTTAAGGGTTTTTTATTCTGTTGCTAAGGCGTTGCTATGGTCAAAATTTTCAATAACTTTAGAAAAATGCTTTTTTAAAGTGTTTTATGTATTTAAACAATATAAGATGGTTATATCAAATGAAAAAGGATAAAATTTGGAAAAAAACGAGTCCAAAAACTTAATTTTGAAAATTTACTCCAAAATCACTGTTTTTTTAGTGGTGTACCACCTTAAGAAAACGGATAAAACACCGAGTTCATTCAACACACAAAAAATCAAACAAATCTTATGTAAAGCAATAGAACGACCTTCACTTTTCATTTTATATCAAGGTCTTTTTTTAGTATATATATAACAAGTATATAATAAATTATACAAAAATAAATAGTGTATAATAAATTTAGTTACTGAAATTAAAAACTTACTAAGTTTTCCCAAATTGATTAGTTTTAATATGTTTTAATTTAGAGCCAATCGATATTTCAGTTAGCTTAATTTTTTGTTGTTGTTGTTTTGTTGTTTTGTTCATGTAAATAACATTCTTTTCATAATTGATAAATTATAAATGATTTATACAAATTAAAATTTTTTTTTTATTAATCAAATTGTTTTTGAAAACGTCAGCTGTCGAAAACCACTTTTTTAAAGAGTCAATTAAACAAAAAAAAATATATTCCAATTTACAAATATAAACAAATAGGTTAAAAAAATTTTCATCTGATATCAGTGGTATCAGTATCCTAAAAATTTCAAGTTCTTTTTTTTATGGTTTTACGTCATTAATCGTGTTATTGCTAAAAATCGTATATGTTGGTATTTCGTAAACTGCAAGGATTTATTGGTTTTCTGTAAACTACCAGAGTTTGTTCGTCTTTCGTAAACTTTTAAGGTTAAATAAACATCACACAAGTTTAAATAAACATGTGATATATATATATATATATATATATATATATATAATATATATATATATATATATATATATATATATATATATATATATATATATATATATATATAGACAGTGGCGGATTAAGATTTCTTGGGGCCCGGGGCTATTTTTGTTTTTGGAGGCCTTTTTATGGGCCAGAGCCTAAAAATGTCTAAAAATGACAACAACAACAAAAAAATGTCCTCTAAAATTATTGGGGGCTCCTAAATTTGCTGATGCAATTCTTTAGCATTTCTAAACTTACTTTGTAAACTTACTTTACCATCAAATTGCTTCCACATATTTTGAAAAGGTTTAGGTCAGAAGATTGAGTGAGCTCTTCCATTAGAGAATTTTATTTGAATTGAACCATGTACCGTAAGAATATATTTTTATCTAAAAAGGAATCACTCGATTCTCTATAATTAAATTTTATATTTGTTTTTTCGTTAAAACTTCAATGGAATAGAGTGGTCCTAATCCAGAAAATCCTGAAAAGCCACTTAAACCCATCAGGCTTTGCCACCCGTATGTTTCACGGTTTCTAGAGTTACATTGGTTTTAATCGCTAACCAAATCGTATTCTCATACATTGTTTACTATCTGAATCTCTAAGATTAAATTTCGACTCATTTGACCATAACATTCGTCTTCATCATCTTTCGTGCAGTTCTTTATCTTTGGTGCAGTTCTTCATCTTTCGTGCAGTTCTTATCATCTTTTGTACAGTTCTATCATCTTTCAGCTAAAATTTTACTTTAAATTTTTACTAAACAAGATTAGTAATGTCTTATAAAACATAAAATTGAATCGGTCATTTCAAAAACCTCATTACTCACTCTATTAGAATATTTCAGGAATCAATAAAAATTGTTTCATGCACCAACAAATAGTTTTAAAGGACTTTTTTAAGCTTAATTTAGTATTTGAGTGGTAAAAACTTGAAGTAGCGAATAACCTTCAGAGTTTATTAATAAAAACAATGAAAAAAAAACTGAAAAACTGTTTTTGATATATGTTGTTTTAGCAATAAATAGAGTTAGAGATATAAATAACCAAAACAATTGTAGTAATCATATTTTATATGCTGATTATTGAAAATTTCAAAAATAATCTTATTAACATTTTTCATGTATTAATTTGTCATGTTTTAATATCTTTAAGGTACGTAGTCAATCTCATCTAGATTATCTTCAACATTTGCAGTTGGCCAGCTAAAAATGTTGTAATAAAATGGCATTTGCTCTTCCAGAATGCAATCTTGAATTTGCTTTAAGTTGTCTATTTTTTTTTTATTGATGGCCACTTTAAAATCATAAGCCTTGTCTAATGTAAGTGCAACAGAAGTTGTAATCTTTTTTATTAATAAAATGAATGTTTACTCCATCAATTTATTCCTGGGATATAATTTTAAACTATGATTACTTTTTCTATCTGCATACTCATACTGTTATAAAAAGTCATGTAGGGGAGAGTCGGGTAATGGCGAACGCAGGGTAACTCCGAACAAGGCCGTTACAGCGTGTTAGGAAAGGATAGTTGACTAACTTTTTTTTTCTGGTGAGAGTGGGTTACATGCTCAGTTCCAGACGTGCAATAGTGTAGTATTGATGCGCAAGTTGTTCACGATAGATTGATTCTAAGTTTTTCTCTTAGTTTCATGTAATTTTTACTTGCGACACATTTATGTATTGGATATACTATGTATATAAAACCGCAAATTTTTTTATGTTGTTGCAAAGTATCATAATTATGAAGTTTTTTACACTTTTAATATTTAGGGTATGTTAATACTCCTCCAATATATTCCTTTAATTTCATTTGTTTGGGGTCGCGGGGAAATAACGAACGATCTTAGTAGGGTAATCACGAACGCTTATTATTTTCTCAAAGTATTCTAGCGTATCTGATAACACACGGACGTTTTCCTATATCAATGTTAAAAATTCGATTCTGAACCAAGTATATATATATATATATATATATATATATATATATATATATATATATGTATATATATATATATATATATATATATATATATATATATATTATATATATATATATATATATATACATATATATATATATGTATATATATATATATATATATATAATATATATATATATATATATATCTATATATATATATATATATATATATATGTTTATATATATATTTATATATATATATATATATATATATATATATATTTATATATATACATATCATATATATATATATACATATATATATATATATATATATATTATATATATATATATATATATATATATATATATGTATATATATATATA